CTGCCCCTGCTGCTCACGCTGCTGGCCTTCGGCGCCCTGGGCCGCGCCGTGCTGCGCAGCCACAGCATGTCGGCCGCCGAGAAGCTGCGCGTGGCCTTGCTGGTGGCCGCGGGCGTGGCGGTGCACGCCAGCTCCTACGTGCCCTACCTGGTCCTGCGCGTGCTCAACGTGGCCGCCCGGCAGCGCTGGCTGGCCCGCTGCCCCAGCTTCGCGGACGAGGCCCAGGCGGTGCGGGCGCTGGAGCTGGGGCCCTACCTGGGCTTCCAGGTGACGCGGGGCCTGGTGCCCCTTGCCATGTGCATCCACCCGCTGCTCTACATGGCCGTGGTGCCCAGCCTGGGCTGCCCAGCCTGCAGGGCGGGGCGGGACCTGCGGGACCAGCGTCCCGGCCAAGACCAGCCTCTCCCTGCGCTGGCCAGCCCCGAAGCCCGGCCCAGCCTGCTGCTCTCCACAGGCCCCTGCGACAGTGACAAGGCAGGGTGACAGGCCCTGGACCCTGACGTGGCCCTTCAGCCACTTCCTCCCCAAAGACAGCCAGAGCACCCCCCACCCCATGCTCAGACCCCTGGGCTGGGACAGGGGCAGGCAGGGTCCACACCTGTCAGCCACTCAGGCTGAGGACGAAGGTTCAAAGCCAGCTGGGGAAAGGAAAGCTCAGAGACAACTATCTCCAGTTAATGACCAGGAAGCCAGAAGTGCGGAGCTGTGACTCAGACGGCAGAAGAGCCAGACTTGAGCAAAACAGCTCAAGGACAACACCAGGCTCTGGGTTCGAGCCCCAGCAGGACTGGCACCCCGCCCCACCCTGCACCCCAACACAATGAAGCCAAACACACACAAGCTGCTTTGTGCCTTCTTTACTGCCCTCGGCGACCGCGCTTGCGCAGGCTTTCTCATCCAGGGTCCAGCAGAGCCGTGCCTCAGTTGGTGGATGGCCTGGAGGGAATGAAGGATGAGATGTGGGGTCAGAACCCCTCAAGCACCCCCCCATTGCGGGGGCTCCGTGGACCCCAAATAGGCAGTGTGGTGACCAAGGGCACAGGGGGAGCCGGGCCGCGTCCCAGGCAAGGGGGACCCGGGAATCTGGGACAAGCAGGTTGGGCGGCTTTTAAGAGCTGGGAGGTTCAAGGTGTGCAGTGGCAGATTGACGGGAGGGGGCGTGGCCCGGAAGGGGCGTAGCCCGGAGGCGTGGCGAGCACGGCCAGGGGCGGAGCCTGAGGGGACTGCGAGGGGGC